ATCATTATGCAAGCAGCTGTGGATTCCGGGTGACGTCATGTTCAGCGGATGGGAACGAGAATGAGATGGTACATTAGATTTTACATTTTTTTTTTTTTTTTTGGGGGGGGGATATTTGATCGATTTGGACGTGTTTGCTAGCATGACGCACAATCACTGGTATGTGGAAATGAAGCACAAAGGGAGCTGCAGACAGCTATCATTTTGAGTTCATTCTTGACTCAAGGACCACTTACTTGATTGTTCTGGACTTGAAAGCTCTGGGAAAAGTAGCCTTGAGTTAGGATTATTAAACTTTTATCTATATAATGAAGGTTTATGAATATCCAAGATGCTTTTTTTTTGGTCTAACAAACAGTCAAAACCCACAAAATGTTAAATTTACGAAGGAAAAAGCTGCAAATCTTCACATTCAAGATGTTGGAACCAGCAAATAGAATAAAATTAACAGCTAGCCTTAATCAAAACCTTTTTGTTCCTACGTACATTACACATAGTAATAATGTAATGTTACACTACACGGCTGCATAAACTCGGTCTAATCTGGATCAAATGACGAGTAAACAACACTAAGAATCTACAGCCATGCTAGCAGCTCTGTGAAGCTGTCGGCTTTGAGCTAAATGTTAACGTTTGAATTAGAATTCATCCTGAAGGGAACATGAATACAAGAAATGTCATGGCAATCAATCCGATAATCCGAAACCACAAAGTCAGTTAGACCTAGAGGAAAAGTCAGAGGATCATTAATGTCAGTAGGATTCATCCTCTGGGGGATATGAGTATCGTAAACCTGCATTCTCATTCATTCCAGCAGGGGGCAGCAACACTGGCTGCAACAAAAGAAGTCTGATAGTATCGAGTCTTATGGAGAAATGAGACGACTTCTCAGTTGATTTATGAGCTCAGTAAACAGTTTCCTGATGAGTTTATGGTCTCAGTCTCTAGTTTCAAGTCTTCTTCCATACAGCATGATGTTCATTTAGTAAATTATAGTCTAATTTAGAGTAAAATAGACTTCATAGATATGGTAAAGATGCTCATTTTAGCCTAGCAGCTTTAGCCTACCTTATTTTAGTTTAGTTTTAGTTGTCATGTCAAATGTAGGGTTGCCTCCTGTCCCTGTAAAAATGTCATAAACATCAGGCTAGAGTCAGTGTCACATGAAAGGTAAAAAAAAAACCTGTGAACGCACGCTGCTTCCCCCCATAAGAGGAGTCAGCCTGAGCGACCCGGCCAGGAAGCGGCGGCAGCGTCTGACAGCACAAATGACTGACACAAACCATGAGGGAGTCGGACAGATGAGAGCCACAGGCGCTGGGAGCTGGTGGTGGTGATGGTGGGTGGTGGGGGGGCATATGAGGGTCAAAACATTGCCTGTGCATTGAGTGTGTGGCCCAGCAGCTGTATGCATAGGGGAGCCTTGGCCTCCTGCTCTGCATGTCAGGGAGGCCGTGATTAATGACCCGCAGGCCTCGCTCTTTACCCTTCTCCTCCTCCTCCACCACCACTGCTGCCCTCCACAGAAGCCACTGCAGCTCATTTAGCTCACGGACACACAGACGCAGGGCTTTTTTTTGAGTACAAATGAAAAGCAATTTCCCCCCACCTCTTCTTATAAAACACCACTTGTGTCATTTTCAGGGCGAGAGCGATGATTTTCTGAGATTTTTACGGCTTCGCTGTGTGCCTTTTTGCGCAGCGTCGAGGCTGAGAAGGGTTGCCCGCGCCCCGTGTACCGGTTCCCAGCTTGTCAGGCAGCTGTCGAGGAGTGATTTATGACCACTAGACTCCAACCTGTCTTCACTGCCAGCTCAGTATTGTTACAACTGACAGCTAATGAGGCCAGACATGCTTTCAAGCAGAGCACTTAACAGGACTTCAATCTTCCCCCGTCACAAGTACAATTTTTGCACTCTCTCACACAGCAGCCTCCTTTCTCTACGCCTTCCTTGTTCTCTGTCTTTTTTTTCTTTGGTGGAATATCTGACAAGCCACTGAAAAGGCAAAGCGAGAAGCCATCTTTGCACACATATACATATATATATATAAACTGGGTATAAGCTAATGCTTTTAATCTAATAATCAACCCTTTTCACCAGGCTGTGAAGGAATAGAAACACCACGTCTGTTCTTGCGGAGAGTCGAATGAGAAGAACGATACCACACTCGTGTCTGCGTGCTAAATATAAAGCTACAGCCACCAGGGGGGGTTAGCTTAGCTTAGCATAAAGACTGGAAGCAGGGGGGAAACAGCTAGTCAGGGCTCTGTCCAAAGGAGAGTGAATCCACCTATCAGCACCTTTAAACCTGCATTTATTTGTAGTTACTTTACAGATTTAAATGTTTGGTGTCATTTTATTCTTATTTTAATAATTTCCTTAGAAGATTTTTGTCAAATTTGGTGAAAAATGTAATTTCCGTGAAAGAAAAGCTTAATTTAAACCCAAATAACCCAAATATTTATTTATTTTTATGTTTTTTTCTGACATACTCATTACTAATACACTTGAATTAATTTATTTCAAATGTACCGATTGGAGACTGTCAATAAATTACCTCTTTCCAGGAATAATCCCGACCTATAAAATAAATAATCGCAGTACCATCTTATAAAATATACTTTAAATGCTTCTTCTTCAGTCACTAGTAGCTAGATGCTACTAAATCCTTCACACTGGTCCTTTAAATTGTGGTTGAATTAAATTAAAAATGAAACTTTTTCCTCACTAAATAATCTTAATACATCATCTACCACCCTTAAGTTCCCACTTTAGTTCCTGTACTCATTAAACACGAGATGTAACACGTTTATTAACACGTTAATGCTTTAGCTATTTCCTCCTGTTTTTATGCTAAGCTAAACTAGCTGCATCCACATGAGTGGTGTCCTGTTGAACTATTCCTTTAACCTGAAGTCTTAGGACTAGTTTGACCTCGCTGTGACCATTTAAAGTGAAATATTGTGTGTGTGGGTGGAAAACTCCATTATGGGAGCATTTTAACAGTTGACATACAGTATATCTTATGATCAAGCTCATAAATTGTATTCAACTATTAAAGGTAATGACTGTTTTGAGTGTAATTATATTTAATAAATTGCAGTAATTATGAAAATATTGTTTTTTATGTCACGGTACATCAACCCTGGTCTCATTTACCTGCCAGAGGTGGAAAGTAATGGAGTACATTGCTCAAATCTTGGACTTTTTTTTTACTATTTTTAGGTACTTTTACTTCACTTGAGTGTTCAAATTTTACTAAAATACTTATTTTTACTCCACTATATTTATCTGACAGCTGGATTTACTACACAGATTAAGATTTCACATCTAACAGTATATAAAATATGATAATGTGATATTAAACTGTATGTAAAGTAGTTAAAATAAGCTCCACGCCACCTTCTGTGACGTTAAAATGCTGCTTACATGTTAAAGCATCACCAATATCACTCAAATAATCTGATAAATAATAATATAACTCACCAATCGGCCCAATTAATCCATTTTACTCTAACATTTTTGTGCTTTTACTGAGTAACAGAGTGTTTTTAAGAGAGCATTACTGCTACTTTTACTCCAGTGAAACCTGTGAGTTCTTGTTACCAACGCTGTTATTTGAACATGTGATCCAGTAAACAAACTCCTCTGTGTAGAAACAGAGTCTCTGGCAGCTCTCGAACCTTTAACCCCTCGTTCCTTGTCAGCCATGATTAATGGCAGCCTAACTAGCTGCTGGCTTGCATTGCCGGCTGTCTCCTGGATACTTAATGAACTCTGACAAGTCTTTAAAACTGATGTTTTTCATTAAACGCTGCAGCAGCGACACCTGGAGGCCAAAGGAAGGAAATTATAACTCTTAAGTTTTCAGTTATTTAAGGTGCAGATTTCTGGCCTCAATCTGATAATATTAATAAAAGTGTGCATGTTTAAGACACTTAATATTTATTCTATATTCCATCAAATGTCTGTAAAAGTCAGAAAGCTCAATGCAAAACATCTGCTGCAGATGTTGTAATCAAAAGAATATGTTTATTAAAGAAATAAGAAGAAGAAATTAACCTTTCTAACAAGAACTTTAGAAAAAGAGCAACAAAATATATTTATACAATTTATATATGGTGGATATATTTTTATACATGCATGTTGTCAGGCAGTGATGGAGAGTATATTTACAGATGTACGGTGCTTGACTACAATTATTGAGGTACTTTTTCTACTGTACTATATCCACTATTATATAATATACAGTCGATTTCACACAAAATACACTGAATTGTGAATATTAACCCCCAAAGACGACAGAAAGTAGTTCAAATTAACTGTAACATAAAAATGTTGCTTATATATTTCTGAAATGTAGAAAGTAAAATAAAATGTAAACAATTACAAGTATGTCAAGACTGTTATCTTGACTTGATAATAATCCATTATAATTGACCTATTTTGATTATAGTTTGTATCTTTAATATGATCAAATAAATATAATGGAGTAAAAAAAAAAAATAAAAAAGTACATTTCTATCTGAGCTGCAGTATAAAATAGGACATGTACCTGAAAAAAGTACTTAGTTAACTTCCACCACAGCATTTATATAATAATAATAATCTTCCAGCTCTGTTAAACAGTGAGACTCTGCTGCCCTCTGCTGGAAATCCCTCTCAAATACACCCTGTTGTAACATTGATGTCTGAGGGGATATTTTTTCCCAGGTTTTCTTGCAGGAAGTTGACTAAAAACAACAACAACAATAAAAAAAGTTTGGAAGTAGAAACTTAAAATCTTGTGAGACCTTTGACGCAGTTTGGAGCTGATTACGCAAAGCTTTTACGCAAACGCGTGCGCGCTTTCTTCTTAATAAAGTATTCCCCCCTTTACTTATTTAAACTCTGCCCGGTTTATTCTGACTTTTTCATGGAGCAGCAGGGGCTGGGCCTCTCTCCTTCCCTTCCTCTCTTGTTCCTGATGTCCTTCCCCGGTTTTGCTCCCTCCCCCTCTCCCGGCTCCTCCTCTGTCGGGCTGCTCGGCTCCATCGAGCGATCTTCCCAAAAAACTTTCCGTGCCAAGAGGTTTTTTAGTTCTTGTCTGCGTTACATTGAGACACTTGGAGGCCGTGCAGGGAGGAGAGTCGCGTTTATAAGATATGACATATAAGACATGGTACTGATGACCGAGCAGGCGGACAGACCTCTGACCCCGTTATCTGCACCAGAGCAACTTTTCAACAAGGACTCCCGAGGGAATCGGTCGACGTAAGTATGGATGCGATGGAGAGGAAGGGCCCGGCTTGCTGAGGCTTGCTGAGGCTGATTTTAAGGCCTAATGCATTGTGGTTATTTGCACGCATATCCTGCTTTAAATTAAAGGGCTGTGCTGACTTTTTGATGCCAGAGACGCGGACGTGGCACAGATCATTTGCATCTAGAAACCCAAGATGACAACAACTTTTCATACTATGTTGTAGTTTTAAATGATGGCTGATCTGCTTTGCAGTACCTTGCACATATTTAAACCTTCAGCACACCACTATATTAATGTGTTATGACATGAAAAGAGAGACTGTAAGCGCCTCCTTGTGTTCCATGTGTTCAGGTCTGAAGTGGAGAATGGAGGTGAGAGGAGACAGAGGTGGCCTGGACGGTCACCTGCGGACCTCCACCTGTGTCTGGACACAGAGTCGGACCCCTCAGAGAGCAGGAAGAAACCCAGCCTGAGGTGAAGAAGGTTATGTTGTTGCATAATAAACTGAATGCAGACGTTACAGCAAGATATTTAGTCATTTAATGCAGGATTTGCTGCTTTCTTCTGTTTTATTTTACTTTAAATTGATTGTATTTGAGTTTTGGACTGTTGATCAGACAAAATAAGTCATTTGAAGACATCACTTTGGACTTTTTTCCACTATTTTCTAACAATTTATCACAAAAATTAACATTAATTAAGAAAAAACAGTTTAAACACACATAAGTTAGACATTAGTGCAACATTTAGAAAAGTAGCTTTTAAAATGAATGAAAAATAATCTTTAATATGACCGAATCTAAATATTTTGATGTCTAAATCTAAACTTTTTAGTCTTTTGGGGTCATTTCTTACATGAAAATGCGACAGAAATCATAATAGAAATTCATCTTAAGTGGTACATTAAAAGCTGAAAGTATCACTTAGTAACATCGTAAAGAAATCCAAAGAATATAATAATTATTATCTTTAAAAACCATGTCTTACAGCTCTGTAATTCCACCTAACAACTGCACACCTGCACGACCAGAGTGCTGTTTACAGATTTTGTGGTTGCTGTGTAAGCAGCTCTTACATAACCACAGCTGACACCATGCAAAACCCCTAAAACGAAGGACATTTACTTTTTTGACTAATACATTCAGCCTGGATCAGCAGACGTAATCGTGTGTTTTTTTATTATAAGTTATAACGCTGTATAACTGTAGCTGATATATCCTTACCTATCCCTTTCTCCTCTGAGAAACCTTGCTACGTAAACATATAAACACCCTTTTTATTTGCCAGGCTGAAACCTGTGGAGCAGCTTTCACCGATGCTGAGTCCAGGCGACTGTGAAGTGAAGTTTGAGAGGAAGAAACCGCAGCCCAGCCACGTACGTACGCAGTCGGATTTACACCAAACTTTATACACATTTATGCACTTTTTAAATGCCTAATAAAGCAAATATCTGTGGTTTGTTTTCCAGTTATCAAAGCCAAATGCACAGTATCATAAGTTATTCAAGGAGGTCAGCAAGGACGAGTTACTCAAACAAAGTAAGTTTAAGATTCTCTTTTCATGTGAAGCAAAGAAATATATAATATAATTATATATAATAAATTGTGCCAACAGGTTACACTTGTGCCCTGCAGAGAGACATTTTATATCAGGGCAAGATGTTCGTCTCCGATAACTGGATCTGTTTCCACTCCAAAGTCTTTGGCAAAGACACCAAGGTATCACACTGTAATAAATAAAGACATTGTTTTGACTTCATGTCTGAATTCTCTGGTTTAAATATGGTTGATCCTCTCCAGATTTCAATTCCTGTGACGTCTGTGACGTTTATCAAAAAGACTAAAACTGCGTTATTGGTGCCAAACGCTCTCGTGATTGAAACCAAAAGTTATCAGGTAAGACAGTTTTCAGACAATCAGTTTTTTATTCTCTTTGTAATATAACATGAATGTGATTTTACAGTAAATTACTGTTTTCCAGCACGTGTTTGTGTCCTTTCTGTCTCGAAACACCACCTACAAACTTCTGAAGTCCATCTGTGTTCATTTGGAGGTAAATAACATCTTCTATGAAGCACTTATTCTTCCTAATTGAGCTCATTTTACTCAATAATTAGTAATAAAGTAGTAGTTGAAGTAAAAAGTAGTTTTCAGCAAAAGGAGGAACAGAATATTTTAACTTTTATCAAATTTTTTAGAAGAAATAGTGTTGGAAATTTAGATTAATTGTAGTTAATAGTGATCCTAGTTTGATATTTAAGAATTTAGAATTTAAAAAATTAGGAATTAAATTAGTCAATAAACAGACATTTTGATAAAAATGTAACATTTTCAGGTTCCAGCTTTCCAATTTCTGAGTTTTATATCACAGTAAATTTAATATTTTTGTATTTTGGATTGTTAGCTGGACAAAAATGTAGTTTGAAAATGTCCCGTTTCGCTATTTTCTGACAATTTGCAGTCTAAAAATTAACATTTTAGCCATTGATACAGGAGGATTGATACATATCTCATGTTTGTATGCTAAATATGAAGCTACAGCCAGTGGCAAGTTAGCGTAGCTTAGCATAAAGACTGGAAACAGGGGGAAACAGCTAGCCTAGCTTTATCTAAAGGCACATATACACAATAAATATGCAACTTGTGTATAGCATTTCACATATTATGTCTGTAGAGTAAAACTGAAGCTATTGTGCCACCAGAAACTTAGCTTAGCTTAGCATAAACACTGGAAATGGAAGAAATAGCTAGCTTGAGTCTGTCTAAAGGTTTATACCCCCCCTGTAAAACCACAACGGGTCATTTTTACACTTTGTACAGATTAAATAGTGTTAGGCAGGTTTTATTAAGGCTAGCTGTTTCCACCTGCTTACACTGTTAATGCTAAGTTGAGCTAACTGTCTCCTGCTTCATATTTACCATAATAACACAAGATTTCTATCAATCTTCTCATCTCATTTAATGTTGCTGCTCATATATTGTTTTGTAAAAAGTAAAATGTTACTGCTACGAGCATCTACCAAATCAATATTCATTGAAATCCCAGTTTACTTAAAGGCAATCACATATTTTGCCTCATAAAGCCTTTTTTCATTATGAATTGACAGTTATAATATACCATGTAGTCAGTTCCTTCATCAACCACACTGTAATTCAACCTTTCCTAAGAAGTTTGTTGATTTCCATACCATTATTTAAGATCCATGTAATCATTTTAACATATTGCACACCTCAATTAACCTCTTTGTACATTAAAATGTACATTAGACTGAATGCAGCATTGTACAAAGTGTTCTGTTCTACCATCAAGATATATTTCAAACACTAATTTTGGTGAATGTGAAGACGTTTCTTCTTTCCTAGATAAAGTTACAGGAGGACACGCATTCTCTGAGGCTGAATTTTAAATCTGCCATAAATTGTATCCTTCTTACATTTGATTCATTGTTCTTTAAACATTTGATTGTACAATAACAAAATATATCAACCATATATGCAGGAATAGCATTTTTATATATATATATCTTTTTAAAAGTCTGCCAAAGATGGTTTTTAGACAGACTTTTAGGTGAACCGGAGTCCCCGGGGAAAACCAAAAACATGCATTCAGATGTTTTGTGCATTTTCTTCATGTCATGTGCCTCTCTTGGATGTTGATAGAAGTGTTCTGGAGGTAGTTTCACGCTGATGTTGATTGCGTACGTTTTTTTAAAAGTCTGTTAAAGATGGTTTTTAGACAGACTTTTAGGTGAACCGGAGTACCCGGGGAAAACCAAAAAAATGCATTCAGATGTTTTGTGCATCTTCTTCATGTCATGTGCCTCTCTTGGATGTTGATAGAAGTGTTCTGGAGGTAGATTGCGTAAGTTTTTTTAAAAGTCTGTCAAAGATGGTTTTTAGACAGACTTTTGGGTGAACCGGAGTCCCCGGGGAAAACCCAGAAATGCATTCCTTCTTTCTATTCTGGAGGTAGGCACTTAATAGTTTCACTATACGCTGATGTTGATTGCGTACGTGAAGTGGATTTGAGTCCTCCTACTTCTTCCAGCGCTGTGGTTTTCTCAACCCAAGAAAGTGACGGGTCTTCTTCCACATTGATGGAGTCTTTGGTGTCGCTGGGGTGTTCTCCTCGGAGACTTGATCCTCGTCCGGTGGTTGGACGGTAGGTCCATCAGGGATGGACGGCTCCTCTTGTAATTCAGCCTCATTCGGGGCTTCGATGGCCGGTGTATCAAGGAGGGACTTGAGCGCCTCGAGTGCCATGGATAGCTCAAGGTTGAGAGAGATCTGAACGCTGAGCTGAGTTTTTAGCTCCTCCAGCTCTCTTGCACAGATGCTCTCTTTCTCCAAGGCGTCTTGCTGCAGGGTATTGATCTCCTTTGCCGTCTGCTGACGAAGGGCGCACAGCTCAGCCCTCAAGTGGCTGTAAACCTGCCAGCCCTCTGCCACCGTGTCTGCATGAATCTTGATTTGCTTGTCAAGCTCATGCTGAAGGGTCTCAGTTTGCTGTCTGACACTGATGACGTCGGCTTCATAGTTCAGGCTGACAGCGTGGTGGGAAGCAGTGATCTTCTCCAGTTCTTCCCGAAGAGTCTTGTTTGTCTTCCTCTCCTCGTTGAGCTCAGCTTTGAACTTCTGTTCGCTGAGTATATGGGATGATTTCAGTTCCTCATAATTGCTTTGAAAGCGATGAAGCTCACACTTGAGGGTCTCAGCCTGCTGTCGGACACTGACGACATCCGTTTGATATTTCAGGCTGACATCAGTGTGTGAAGCAGTGATCTTCTCAAGTTCTTGACGAAGAGAGTTGTTCTGCTCCCTCTCCGTTTGCAGCTCAGCAGTGAACTTCTGTTCACTGAGAGTATATGCCCTATTGAACTCTTCATACTGCTTCTGATAGAGTTCCAGCTCACTCTGAAGGGTCTCAGGCTGCTGTTGGACAGTGACGACCTCAGCTTGATATTTTAAGCTGACCTCATTGTGCAAAGCGGTGATGTTCTCCAGTTCTTTTTGGAGAAAGTTGTTCTGCTCCATCACAACATCAAGCTCAGCTTTGAACTTCTTTTCGTTGATGATGTGTGCCACTTGGAGCTCTTCATAATCAACTTGCAGGAGCTTTTTCTTCTTCCTCTTGGTGTTATCTCTCACCTGAGTAGCAATCCTTGTTGTGCTGAGAGTTTCTGTGTCGCTGTACTTTCGCAGCCTCTCTAGCTCTCTCCTTGTTTCTTTTTCCCTGTTGATATACATCTCTTTCAGGGTTTTCTGTTTCTGGAGGTTGGCTCTTAACTCATCCAATGCTTTGTTAAGTTGGATTCTCATGTTCTTCTCGGTGAAGCAGTTGACCCTCTCTGCATCCAACTCCTCATTGAGTTCCTTAACTTGTGCACGAAGGGCATCGCACTCCCCTAAGAGGTTCAGCCGGGCGTGGCCAGCGGCTTCCTGTCCAGAGATCCTCTGGTCACGTCTTGAGTTTCTCACTTGCTGCATTTTCTTTGGCTGGTGGAATCAGTCTCAAAGTAATGCTCTTGACTTCAATTGCAGTTTGTCTGAACAGATGTGGTCTGTATCAGTGGTCTGACTTGAAGGTGTTCTTGTTTCTGTCACTTTGTCTCACAGTGGTGTCACTTGTTGAAAAGTTTCGAAAGATGTGTCTGAACGATTGAAATGATCTGACTGACTGAACCTTATAGACTTCAGACCTGCTGATATCACAGAATGGAATTATTCCGTTCTATTTTGCTTTGATTCGTACAGTTCCGTTCTATTTTGCTTTGATTCGTACAGTTCCATTTCTGTTTGTTTTTTTCTGCATCTTTACATTCAAATCTTTCAAATGATCTGCGATTCAAATGGAAACAAAATAACTGCTGTTTTTTCCACAAAAAACATTCAAAACAGGTTTAAAACCTGCCAATAATAACAGTGATTGAAAGGTCTAAAACAACAGCTTCACAAAGCTGGAATGCTTTCATTAATGATCGGTTGAGAACCACAAAATGCACTTTTTTTGTCTCAATACATGTGTTATAAACATTTCCATTTTGTCAATTATCATAATTAACTCAACATTAATGACATCCCTCTGCAAAACATGCATCATTAATACTATTATGTTAATTATTGCTATTATTATTATTATTATTATTATCATAATTATTATTCTATAAAATATATTAGGTATTAGATCCCAAACAAAAACAAAAATGTGTCAAAACAAAAATCCCCTCTGAAACACCCATTAAAACTGCAGTAACCGCATTTAGTCACCACCATTATTACATTTATTATGACTGTTTGCATCTTTTTTTTTTTTCAGACCAAGTCAAGTTCTGCACTTCATCTTTTATATTTTGTTTCATTGTTAGGGACCGAGCCAGCGACCGCTGTGAGGCCCTGTTGTATCTCTAGGAATCTGTATTGTATCTTTTGGTGCCTGCAACATGCTCGAAAGCTCATGGAAATTTGCACAAAATTCATACGTGGCAAAAACTCACATATGCACTTGTCCCCGTGCAGCCACCCCGAATCAGCCCCCACAACCTGTAAGGCCGACATGTACGAAAATCGGCATGCACGTGTATCGTGATAAAAGACGCAGAAAAGCCTCTTGGACTCATACCTCAAACTAAACAGGAAGTCGGCCATTTTGGATTTTGTGGTAATTTCTGCCGATTTTCGCCGTTGCGTTGCATGCATGGAATTTATAGGATTGACTCCACACTTGGACACAGCCATCTAAAGGCATTCACGAATAAAAGTTGCGCTATTTACCACATCCGTCGAACAGTGGGACGTGGTGTGGCGTCCCGTGGCGTCCAATTTCGATCCTTGGCCATGAAAACAGAAAGTCGTCATAACTTCTGCGTACATGATCCGATCGCAACGAAACTTCCCATGTTTGATAAGAGTCCCGCCCTAAACACGTCTATCTGATAATATTCAGTAATAGTGAAATACTAGTGTACTTAAAGGCAATCACATATTTTGCCTCATAAAGCCTTTTTTCATTATGAATTGACAGTTATAATATACCATGTAGTCGGTTCCTTCATC